GAATTTATTTGTTAGATTCGTAAAACCATCAGTAATTTCTAAAGGAAAATGAAGAATTTTACTCTAACGTCTATTCCATTTCAGAAGTAATAGTAAACAAAAGAAAATGAAAATTTAGTGATTGGTGCGGAAAACAAAGACTATATTCAAAAAATGCCAAGTTTAAATGAAAGTGGAAGTGAAATCATTTTTCAATTCTGTGCGAGCTTTTTTTGTAACTGCATGTTCATAGATATAATTGATAAAATTTCCACTGAAGTGAATCCATTTCTAAAACATGCTGAAGTTGCTGACATCAACTTGAGAACTGAAGTCTCAATTTTCATCTGTTCTTTACTTGATGAAATACTTTTTCCATCCATTATTGATGAAAAATGTCTTAATCAAGTAGTAAATTGAATTTTCCATGTATCAAGTAGATGATTTGAAAGAAATTGTAGATTTGCGTATTGATATAGCATGGGGAGAAATTGCCAAATTAAAAAATATGAATGGGTGTATTAAATACAAAGTATTGCCTTCTGTAATGCTTGCTGTCTTAATAATACCTCATTCAAATGCAGCTTGCGAAAGAATTTTTTCTATTGTTAAAAAAAAATCAGACGGAATTTCGACCAAATTTAGGTCTTAAAACTCTTGAAGCAGTTTTGATTGAAAAAATAAATATGCAGGCAAATGAAGAACTGTGTTATAAAAAAAACATTCTCAAAATCAGAACTTAAGCTTGCTAAGCATGCTACATATAAATCTTTGCATTCATAAATTATGCGTATTTTGTTTAATACTTATATGTATCATTCTTGGTTATTTAAATTTTATTTCCCTGTAGAAATCATATCCAGAATAAAGATATGATTTATAGCTTCTGATTTTTTCTATGATTAGTAGTGATTTGAAGTACTTTTTAATTAGTGAATGTTTGAGGAGTTAAAAGAAAATTTCTAATTAAATGTGCATATAATTTACAAGGTATATTTTTAATTATTCAGTTTTTATATGTATATGGATTTTAAATGTAATAAAATTGATTACAATTAATTATTAATTTAAAATTAATGAATGGTTAATTACAACATACGCTACGCGCACATTTTCAAAGTTGTAAAAATGTCGTTCGCGCGTTGACTACTGACAAGGTTTGCTGAAGGTTGGAGTCTATGTATAACTTCATCCTCTAAGTCACAAGCTGATTCACTGGGAAAAGTACTATTAAATATTTTTCTCCCTCACCAGGCTCAAAAGAATGGTTGCTTTTCTTACAAATGGCAATTGTAAAACTGTTTGGAGTCTAGGAAATAGCAGAGTTGTAATATTTTCTTGACAGTCCTCCCTAAAAATTTTGAAATAAATCATGCATGTGTATGATGTATTATATATGTGTGAATACTATGTAGTGTAATGTAGTTTAGTTTCACTTCTCATGTTAGACCATGGGCCATGACAATTGAAATAGCTTAGGAAATAACTTTCATAGCACTTATTTGAGGGTAATGCAGAACTGCTTTCAAATACATTGTAATTAGTTCTGGTTTCGTATTTTAGCGACCAATCATGTGAGTAATGTGGAAGCAATTTCACTTTCAAAGGCACCTAACTTTTTGTACCTTTCTGCCCTTTAGCCCAACTTGCATTTGAAAATAATATTCTTGTTTTATTATTACCTTTTAAAATATGAGCAACAATCCATGGGAGCTGCCATATCTATATAACTCACATTGTTTGTTTGCATTGTGTTTGGCACTTCAGAAGAAAAGGTCTATTTTAGTTGGCCAGTTTCTACTAGCTAAAAATGAAGGCATCTGGGTGATTGTTTCATTGGAATCAGAATATCTCTTGGAATAAACTTGGTCTTTAGGCTGTGAGTGTCATTTAATGCATAGTATGTTTCTTTCTCTTTAATAATCATATCTGGTTTTACACAAAGAAGCTAAATGTTGTATAAAAAGTTGACATTAGAGTACCCGCATGAAATTTAAAGAGAGGAAGAAGATTGTCATGCAGTATTACATTTAAACTTGAAGTTGTGAATTATGCTTCACAGTATGGGCACAGAGCAGTTGAAAGGCATTTTGGCCCACCTTTGACTGAGAAGATAATATGAGAATAGAGGAAGCAGAAGATGGATGTGCAGATAGGAGTAAAAGATCTTTTACTTTCATGCACTCATAAATGGCCAAAGCTTGAGGAGCATGTTAAAAAATGGATAATAAATCAGAACTGGACTACTGTTTCAACAAAAATGATTTTTAACTGAAGAGAGAAAGTGATATCGATTTGTTTTTCCACTCTTTAGAGTCGTGAAAAGAAATGGTCTGTGCATTTTTTAATGTAAAAGTTCTGTTTTTGTTGTATAAAGTGTTACCAGTAAAGTAGGCACTTTGATCTTTTTCTGTTTGATCCATGTATTTTCATAAATTCTAACCTAATAAATCTCAGTTCATCTTATGCCCGTGCATATTATAAGGAAATACAGTATATACTTCAATTTTTAATTTGATATGAGATTAAGATAGAATATTCTGATGTGCTTGAATTTTCAGTTCTTTAAAAATCTGAATCCTTTTTGGTCTCTGTGACACTCCTGATAATATGACTAATATATAATTAATATAACTAATGTATAATTAGTATTATTAACTAATATAATCAATATAACTAATATAAAATTTAATAATAATAAAAAGTACAAAATTAATACAACTTCTGAACTTGTATTTTGATGTAGCTGCAAATATTACGTTTGGGTAAAAATAGTTTTGTATTTATTTATTGTAATTGTGTATTGCTTAAAACCAAATTTATGATTATCTGTGAATGTGAAGTGTCTTTGAACCATATAAATTATTTCATTGCATAGTCCAGTTTTAATACGACAAATTTGAGTCACATTTAAGTCAACGTATATCATTCTTTACACTGTTTTTATGCATATTTCAACTATTATCCTGAGTTCTAAATTTAAAGAATTACGGCAATCTTGTTTGGCTAATAAGTTCGTTTTGGGATTGAGTTATGGAACTTTTGTGTTGCTGATAAGGGATATCTGTCTGAACTTTTCGATTGAAAGCATCTAGAAGGATGGAATGTTTTCTGCCTGTCTTCCCTCCTACCTGTAGCCTATCAAGCACTCTCATTTAGATTCATTTTAAATACATTCATTGTGCAAAGAAAGCTGATTCACAAATGTTTGTTTATTATCTGGTATTCAAAAAGCCCATTGGCATGGAAACAGCCTTCATTCACTAGCATAAATAGTGTATCTACAAATTTTAAACAAAAAATATACCAACAAACCAGCCAAATAATAACTGACAACATTTATTATTCAGATGTATCAACTTGCTTCTTCTCAAATATCAACTGCTCATAGACAAATTTATCTAATCAATTAACTACAATCCAGTGACTATGTGCTGTCATAGATTTGAAAGTTGAGCAAAGAATAGCTGTAATGTTTTGCAGGAAAAGCAGCAGTGAAGACATTTGAACTTTTGTATAAAGCATACTGGACTCGTGAAGTAATATGATTCGCTGCTTTTCTTTGATACGGATGATTTCATTATGAGTACAATAATGTTGATGATGAACCCAGGAATGTTTGCCCTTTGCAGTCTCAAATGAATGAGAACATCAGAAAAGCTTAAAACTTTGCTGAAAATTTGTTCGCTTATTTCTCCAAATGATAGCTGATAAACTCAACATCAGTGAAAATACTGCTAACAAAAATGCCATGGAAGCTCTTAAAAAAAGATATTTGTTCTTTTCACACTGACTTCAGTATAGAAAAAAGATCTATTTTCTACATGTCAGAATCTGATCCAAATTGCAAATGCTAATCCTAAATGTTTCATACAAATTATGATTGTTGGTTTAAACCTAGTGCTTTGTTGATAAAATGATGCTGAGACAAAATGGTAGTCATCTGCTGGAGTTGGAGAAGTTTTAGCACAGCTACAACTTCAATTTCAGAGATCCTAAGTAGATACTATGTTAATGATGTTTTCTAATCAGAAACTGATCATTCTTTAGGAATTTATTTCTGAAAGTCAAATAGTAAACTCTGTATTTTAGTAAAACATAATTTAATTAAACATAAGCATACTCCTGAAGATTTATCCATGTTAATTCTAAAAAACCTCAAATTAATCTAGACAGTTTCTGCTACATAACAAAGTTCAATTGTACACAATTTCATTCACACCGACCAGTTTCTAGAAAATAAAAATGTCACAATTCTCAATCACCTTGCTTATTCACTAGATTTGAAACTCGCAGATTACTCTCCCCTTTATAAAAGGAAGTGTCACATGATGGGCCATTATTTAAATATCACTGAAGGAATTCAGAAAAGTGTAACCAGAGACTTAAACTGTATTCCAAAAGATAATTTCAGGGAAGGAATCAGGCAGCTGTCTGTAAGTGCCAAGCATTGTATAGACTTATGCGGATTAATGCAGTTAAAATATTAAAGCCTAAGAAGTAAGAATGTTGTTTCTTCAACTTCTGATTTTGAATGAACCTAAAGTAAGTGGCCTAAGGAGATTTCAGTTTTCTTGGTTTTTATTTTTTAAATCAGTTTGTATAAAATAGCATTTAACAGTAATGAGTGTGAGCATATAAGGAAGGAAAAGCATGTTTAAATTGTTACACTGTTTCAGACATCATTACAAGTATTTAAGATGTATACATACTTGTAATTGAAATTTTGTATTGTAAGCATAGAATCTGATTAAGAGAAAAAATCAAACCATATTTGATAACTCATCATTACTAATGAAATAGTCATTTATAATTATTTTTCATTTTTATATTATATGACTTTATTAAACTAAATAGTTATATTATTTTCTTATTATTTTTATAATATATGAGTTTATTAAACTTAAATAGTAATTAATTTTAATATTTAGAAATTGTGCATGCATTTTGGTTCTAAATTATTTTGTAAATATATTAATACTTGTAGCATTCACATACTACTATCAGTCATATAATTTTAGGTCATCATTTGATTGGAACTTCTCACCATATGATGTTCCTGATCTCTTTGCAAAACCTGGAACTCCATGTGATAATTACAGTGGCTATTGTGATGTCTTTCAGAAATGCAGAGAAGTGAGTCTCAGTTTATTACCATGTTTTGCATTACATTTATAATAAAACTTTTTAAAATATAGTTTTCAGATAAAATAACACAGCGAAAGATTTGTAAATTTTGTAGGACTAGTTTTGATGGTTTAAATACAGTACCATCTTCCCCAGGCATTTCTTTTGACAGCTGAAGAAGATGGTTCTGTATTTAAATCATTGAAACTAGTCCTGCACACTTTACAAATCTTGTGTTGATTTTTGTTGGTTGACTTCTCCAATAATAGTTTTCAGGATTTGGACTTCATATAAATACCACAGCAGTGATAGGTACCAGAAGTGTTTGTGCATTTTAATTTAAGAATAAAGATTTTGCTCTTAAAAGAATTTGAGTATGCTGACGGTTGGAAATTAAATATTGAAATTAAGTACTGACTGCTGAATATTTGGAACTTTTGATTTATCCATGTGTCTTTTAAAACTGAAAATTTTAAAATTTAATGTTAAAATAAATGTTTTCCAGGAATGTAAATGCTATTCGTGTAGAAATATTAAGTTATTCATTTTCTTGCCAGTTGAAGCTGAAGCATTAACCCCTTCGAGCCGGGTAGCGAAAACGCACGCTTATCGCGGAGACCGGCAGTGTCTTCCGCGAGCGTCTCTCTAGGGCCGGGGGGCTTTTTTGCTACTATCCATGAAATTTCCGAAGTATCAACGCATTGTTTAATAATGCTCTATAGAGTATTTAAACGGCTTATGCTTTATAGATATATATATATATATATACTTTAATTACCTTATTTCTTGTTTAAATGCATATTTTACACATTTTATTTTAATTACTCACCATTTTATGACTTTTAACATATACATCTGAAAACTAAATATATTACTTAAAATTCTCTTTTCGTATGAAAAATTTGAAAACAGGAATCTACACACAGTCCTACGTTACATTCCTTGAACTCGTAATAACTCATTTGTCGTTTTGGAGGATTTTTCCGGGAATGTGAACAAACGAAGCATTGTCGTCTCATTTTCTTATCAGTCTCTTCTGAACAAAGTTTTGGAAAATGTCTTTCAGTTAATCTTTCAGAATTTCAGAATCAATATCTGAAATATTTTGCATCATTTCTGCTATTTCATGCTCTGTTAAACATTTTCGACACTTCGACATTGGAACGGTAAAAACAGAAAGAATTCACGTCTAACAAGATCTAATTATTTTCTAAAAACTGAACTGTAAACCAAAATACTCAACGCTTTAGCGCATATAAAACCTCTACTTACAATAAACAACTACCACGTGCGAATAAAGTGTGATTTAAAGAGACGTCATAAATCACGCCATTCGGAAACATTTAGTTCCCCGTTTGTTTATATAATCAAAAACACGTGTATGTGAGTCATGCTTCTTTCATTTTGAGTAGAAGGTCTAATGTACATGTATCTGAAACCATATGGTCATACAGTGCCATCTTGTGGCAGAAATTATAGTTTTTCAAACTTACTAGGACATTGGCACAAATACATGACAGTCAGTTGAGAACGGGAAAATGCTCTGGCACGCCTGCATGTCAGCCGGGAGGTGAGTGTGTAGACTGGCACGTAGACGTGACAGTTGGCGCGAAGGGGTTAATTCATTCTCTTTTTGGTTGAAGCTCTTGTTAGCTGAAACCTGAAGTGAGTCCTTAAAAATATATGAAAAAGCATTACATAGCTGCCAACTCTCCTGGCTTAACTGGGAGATTCCCAATTTTTCATCACATCTCACAACAGATCACTAAAATCTCTTGATTTCTAACATTTAGCCTTTACTTATGAAAGTTTTTTTCAATGATAAATTAAAGTTGTTGAATTAGTGGAACTTAAGTTGTGCAAATTTCATATCTTCTCTCATAGTGATTTTTTGCATAATTTTTCTGAGTACATTTTATTGGATCTGAATTATCTTAAACTACTGTAGAAGACTGCAGAACTTTATATGAAGGTTCAGCCAATGCTTAGTCAGCAAATATTTGTATTTAATTTTATTTTGCATTAATATATGGTACATTGCTAAGTTTATTCAGAAAATAGAATGCATACTCATCGTATATTTTTGTATACAATCCCAGAATTTTGGAAACTTCTTAAAACTAAATTACAGAGTTGGCTTATATATGAATGCGCTAATCTCAGGAAAAATATAGGTATTTTTCCATTAGCTGGGCATAAGCAATATTGCCAAATTTCACCCCAAATATCGCATTTTTTTATTTCGTTAGTTTCATTAGTTTTTTATGTTTATGAAAAAAAAAAGTCACTTCAAATGAGCTGTTTTGTTTTTGAAATTGATTATAATTCTGATTTGTTGCATTGCCGGCAAAATGAAGATTCTGATGATGACAAAATTTGCGCTGAGCTTTTCTGCTCTCAGAATTGTTTCTCATTATTTGCGGAGAAATGCTAAGCAGCCATACTATTGTTATAACTTTGAGCAAATGCGATCACCTATAGTATGAAATATATTTTTTATAATCTATATAAGATAAGAATTTCTGTACTCTCTCATCTTCAAACAAAAAATAATATGCCACTGAAGTAAGACTAACAGAGATATCACAGATCGCATATAAGACAATAAATGAAAGTGAAAAAATGTGTTAGCTTTAGATAGGGTTACCAGAGTTAAACCTACCGTCATTGACATCTGGCAATTTGACTTCACCCATTTACATGCTTGGGCCCACCAGCGGCCGAGCGGTAAAATTGCTGAACACTGGTAGTTCGGTCTGAGGTTCGGATCCCGCGAACGGACTGGCTGCATGGGCGTTTTTGTTGTTTTCTCCATGTGTAACATGTATACAAGCCAGTTTCCCTTAGAAAGTCCTCCACGGCTTCCCTCCCCTTAGGCAGATAGCCCTAGTGTGCTTTGTCGTATTCTCAATACACAATACACATGCACACATTTACCTGCTTGGCAACATTTTCACCCTCTTGGTGGCATTTTGAATGTTACTGGATCCCCCCCCCCAATTTCGATTTATGTATGGGTTTTGAATTTGGAGTACATTTTTGAAGAAAATGTGCATTCTCGTCTTATACAGGGACCGACTTGTATTCAGAAAATTAAGTTCAGTGTATTAATTTCATTTTGAATGTGCTTAAAAAGTACTTTGAGAATTCAAACTTTTCATGCTGAGGATTTTCTCAGTTACAACAATGTAAGAAATTTACAAAATGAAATTAGCCAAAGAACATAAAAATTTAAAAATGTAGAACACCTAATTAAATTGTATAATTAAATTTACATCAGTTAAATAACCTGAAATGTGCATTATAAAATGAATTTTAGTGAGTTTGGAGTTCTCTTGAAATGTTGCCACACTGCAGCATGAAAAACCTTCCAGTTTTTCATATTTCGAAATTTGCGGCTATGACATTATATTCTAGTAAAGATAGCATCTTTGCTGTCTATATCATAGACTCGCTAAAACATTTGAACATCTTTGCAACATTTATTAAAAGACATATTTTGGTTTGATATATTAGCAGGTCTTTTAATTATCTCCAAATATATTATATAGTGTGTGGATATATATACATGAATTTGTATCTTTATCTTTAAATATTTAAATTCTTTTTACTGCATTTTTGAAGTATTTATTTACTTTGTGGCTACTTTTTTTAATGTGTATTTTTTTTTATATGAAATTGTCGATTTTGCTGATCTGAGAATAGCAATGTTCAGAATGTAAAAGAAGCTTAAGTGAACCGCAAGATATACTGTTGATATGACAGAGCTTTTCTGAATTTGCTGGAAGTTTGTCTTACATAAATACAACTAAGAGTTTTTGTTAAGCTGTTATAGTTGTCATTCACCTGTGAAATTAAGTTGAATTGTAAGTTCACTTTGCAAGTGATTTTCAACAGTTGCTGGTATTTCTGGTGCACTGAAGTGAAGTAGTTTATATCTGCATTTTGCTTTAGACATTTGATCTTAACTGACTGTACAGTTGTAATTGATTTGAATAATAAATTTTAAATTTCTGTCTGTATATATGGAGTGATTCTTTAAAGAGAGATAAATGAATTAATATCTCACAACAAATTGGGTCAGTTATGGATTTCTTTGAATAATGATAACCAGGAGGATGGAAAATTGGTTGGAAGTCATTATGGAAATAATTGCCACAAATTCATTTGAAGTGAAGAACAGAATCACAGTGAATGGGGCTGAGATGAGGAAAGAAACAGTTGCAATTGAAGAACTACATCAAGGCAAATGCCATGAGATGAGGAAAAGGGCAGCCATAAATGTCACAGATACGAAGGACAGCACAATGGAAAGCAAAATCTTGTATGCTGTAACTGAGAAAGTAGCTGCCATATGAAAAAAATATTTATGAATGTGACTGTAAATCAAGAGACTGTAAGTAAGAAATAGTCAGTGTGAATCAAGAAATTTCAATAGTGAATGAGTGGCTATAAATGGACAATTTAACATTAGAACAGAAATTTCTAGAACCTGTTTCATTTATAAAAGTGTCTGAGCTCAGCCTTCTTTGAATAACATCTTGTTTCCTTTGTTTCGTCTCATAAGTAAGCTGTCGCCATATGGCAGGAAGTCATCTTGGAGTGTCTACAAAATGCAATTTCAAATTATTTTATGGTCAAATCAGTGAAACCTTGTCTTAAAGCATTAAATAGGCTGGATTCTTAGGAGAAAGAGGTCGATGCCATCTTATAGATACTTCCAAATATAAAATGTTCAGGTATTAATGAAATGGATGGATTAAAGCTGAGCAAAAATGTTCAGATATTAATATCTCCATATAGCAGAAGTAACACATTGAATGGACTAGATCAGCAGTTCAGAGAAATAGTTTTCAAGGATTATCAGTGGCTGCAGCTTAAAACTTAGCAACAGAGGGCAGGAGAGACCTTTTAGGTAATTGTGACTGATTGGAAAATTATTGCAACTGGCATTTCCAGATTGTGGTTGGAAAATGAAAGACGCATTGAATTATTTTATTATTTTATGG